ACCTGCCCCTGGCCGACACACCTAAATCAAAGCAGCTCAGCCTGCATTAGTGTTGATTAGTCTTCGCTTTGTTATCACCATGTTTTCCAACTTTTATCAAGTTAACGGCCCTCATCAGGGCCTCTACACCTATTTTCAGGGTGGGCTGCCTGGTCAAGTATATTCGATATTCGGACTACAAACATTGCCGAAGCGTTTCACAAGTAAGCATTGCATATAATCTCGCTAATCTTCGGTAGGTAATCACTTTCCTTCAGTCGCCTGAACATCACATTCGGAAGAGACCACCCGGATCTGCGCACGCTGCTAGAGAAGCTTAAGTATATAGATTTCGAAGCCAAGTGTACCCTGCGGTGGATGAGAGAGGTAGGTTTCCCCTCGAAGAGAGCAAGCCACCAATCCAGCAAAAAAAAATTTCAGCACCCCAATGAAGAAGAAGCATCTCAGGAAACGAGACCGCGAGCGCAGGGAAAATATTGAGAGGAGCATGAAAAGGTAAGATCACTGCTTAAGTAATGCTGTTCTACAAGATAATGCTTACCTTATTTAGGTTTGGGGACATTTATCGCTCGCGAGGAGTGACTACAGCCGAAATTGAAGATTATTGTAAATATATGGTCAAGATATGTATCTGGTAAAACTATATAATACATGCATGTTAATAAATCTTCATAATTAATCGACTCCACATCGAAAATAAAATAGTTCCTTACCACAAAATGAAGGCCTGATAGCTTACTGTAAGCTGCTATGAAGTGGAATTTATCACAACTCCAGAAAGATTGTGATAACTCCACCCCTAAGTAGCGAAGCAGTATATCCAAGCAGTGAAAAATACAGAAGAAACTCAAAACGTAAGCAACAAGGCGAAAACAGCTGAATAGTAGTAGTAGGTACAGTAGCTTGAATAATGTGGAGTAGCTTGAATATAAACAGAAATGTGCAGTCAAAAGAATAAAATATGAATATTCTCAAAAGGGACGAAAAAACCAGCTCCAACGAGTGCGAAGATGGTGAGTTACGCGTTTGTCCGCAATTCGGCGTCCACGCTGGCATCTTGCCAACGTGGGCCGGTCAATTATGTCAAACGAGGGGCGGAATGCCTTGGACGAGTTCTCCGTCCACGAAACGCGCCGCATCAGCAGGGTGGCGGGTGGCAATTACGGCCGCTGCGCCCCAATGGCAATCCGGCCGCGCCGAACGACCGCCTCCCTGGCAGGGTCCAGTAAGTCATGGACGTAGTTTCATAAATATTATACGCAGCAACATCAGACCTTTTAGACTCGACGGCACTTTCATTCTACTACTCGAAGAAGTTGGGCGCTTATGGAGAGGTGAGTCAAAACTTGATAAGGCTTCATTCTGTAGATGCGTAGTTGCGGTAGTAGGTTGTTAAGCAGCTCGAGGTTATCGGATGAAAGCTCCACAGAGCGGTTGAGCGGTGGTGAGGCCGCGTTCATAGCTTGCGACCATGAAGAAATGCAGAAATGAAGAAATGCGGAATCTGCGGAAATGACGAAAAGCATTACATACGTATCGATTTGAAGAAATGCAGAAATGCCGAAACTGAAGAAGTGCGGAATCTGCAGAAATGCCGAAAGTGAAGAAGTGCGGAATGTGCAGACATGCGGAATCTGCAGAAATGACGAAAAGCAATTCATACGTATCGATTTTCCGCACTTTCGGCATTTCTGCAGATTCCGCACTTCTTCACTTTCGGCATTTCTGCATTTCTTCAAATCGATACGTATCTATTGCTTTTCTGCACTTTCCGCACTTCTGCATTTTCGGCATTTCTGCATTTCTTCAAATCGATACGTATGTAATGCTTTTCGTCATTTCTGCACTTTCCGCACTTCTGCAGTTTCGGCATTTCTGCATTTCTTCAAGTCGATAAGTATCTATTGCTTTTCTGCAGATTCCGCACTTCTGCACTTTCCGCACTTCTGCATTTTCCGCATTTCTGCATTTTCTTCACGAACGCAAGCTATGAACGCGGCCTTACCCTCCATTGTTGTACGATTTTGACATTACCGAAAAATGTGCTAGAGTACACCACTATGAACGCCTGCTCCGTTTTTTTGTTTTTACAGTTTTACTGGTCTTTGATGAATGGCATGATGCGCCGTCACAGTGCTAGATGACAGAGCTTATGAATTTATCTGTTGATGGTAGAATCACTATCACTCTGGTTCGAACGCCATAGTAATCCCGCAAAGTTGGGTGTAATGATGAGATGACAATGTTTCATTATACTCTGAACTGTTAATCTCTTACTTTGTTAAACGTTCAGATATCGGCTGTTTATTTTTTGCACCCGTGACACGCGCGGTTTTCCTCGAAAGCAACGTGGCGCTGGTAGCACATCATAGATGCAGACGTATCTTCGAGGCGTTTTTTGGGAAATTGGACCGAACTGGATCTAGAGAGGGAAGTTTATGCATAAGATTAATCTTAGTATAGGATAAATAACCTGGCTGACTACATGCATTTTTTGCACTAGATGGCCAGAAATTCGTCCGCTAGCCATGTTTTTCATAAAAATAAGTGCCCTGCCTTCTATAAGCGTTCCAGAAATGCGTCAGCCTATATTGTCGACCATTATCAACGATTGTTCGACTCAGCATTTCTCAGGCTAAGTGTTGAAAGCAATACATTCCATGTGTTGAAGAGCAAATCAGCGGACAAATGGTGATGCTTTACCTCAAAGTATTTAGCTAACCTAAGTGTGTATGAATTATTCGCAGGACTTACGCTTAGATACGAGTACCCAGGGCGGGGTTTCCTGAACTATACAATGATTAAGAGAAACTAACTAAAAAACCATGCACTGTTGAAAGATATGGATTTGTTGATCGTGAGTTGTATAGTATGCACGCTGTCCCACATGGCCTACAACGCGTGCATTCAATGTGTCTCACGCGGTCGTCAATGTGTTAATAAAATGAGATGATTAAAATTCGTTAGTGCCCTGAATAATTCCCGTTGTCAAAGTTTTACAAAAACTGCGATTTGGGTGTTGTTGAACAGTTTCTCTTACTACTTTGTCTGTTCTCGTATTTCCTTTCGATTTCTGTTCTTCCTTGTGAACCTAATGCCACCCGCCGGATGAGCGAACAACGAGACACCGTATCCCCAAAGGAGCCGTAAATAAATCCGGGTGAACACCAAACACAGCATCTCACGACAGCAACGTCGAAATTGCCATGTGGGTCGCATCTATTCCTACAGCGTCCGCGCAACGCGTGTCGACCGCGGCGCTCCTGGCATTTTGCCATTCTTTGGTGATTCACGCTTCCAATAGCGATTAGAACGCGAACCTCGCTGAGCGGGACTTCAATTGAAGATCAGTTAGTTGTTTCAAAGTTGCATGCCTTTCGCAATTGCGCTTCAATGAGAAGAACGTGAATTGAAGAGCAGTTAGCCAATTTCAGAGACCCATACACAACGCAAGCGCATTTGAACGAGAAGGACAGAAAGCATTTGCAGGTAGTAACTGGTAATAGGTAACACATGAAAATTGCACTGCATGACGCTCTTCCTGCATAGGAAGAGCGTCATGCAGTGACACGAGGACGTATCTGCATATATGGGTACTATTCAACTATTATTACCTAAGAACTCGAAAAAAAGGACTGCTGGAACTTTGCCTATACGGATTACTCGATGCCCTGATCAGAAGTATGACATTCGCTTTCGATGCGCGCATTTAAGCGCCAGTAGGCGCCGACTTAACACCAACACTTTCCTTACCAATAGCGATGTAAACTTGCTTACCGGGGTAATCGGTGCCCTGATCACAAATATGGCATTCACTTTTAGCTCTGACGCTATTTGCCGTAACACCCTTTTCACTAAAATTGATTAAAATCCGCGTAATGGGGTTTCCATTGTCACGAAAATGGCATTCACTTTCCGATTTCTGCTAAGGCTGAGCCTGGGAGAAGGATTACCTTTGGGCCAGGCCCAGCCTCAGCGGAGCGTAGACGACCGTAGAATGTTGTATTAGTGCCTGCACCAGGAATGAATGTCATGTTCATGATCAAGATCTCAAATAGCCTGCAAGTTTAATCGATTTTTGTGATACCTATTACCAGTTACTACCTGCAAATGCTTTCTGTCCTTCTCGTTCAAATGCGCTTGCGTTGTGTATGGGTCTCTGAAATTGGCTAACTGCTCTTCAATTCACGTTCTTCTCATTGAAGCGCAATTGCGAAAGGCATGCAACTTTGAAACAACTAACTGATCTTCAATTGAAGTCCCGCTCAGCGAGGTTCGCGTTCTAATCGCTATTGGAAGCGTGAATCACCAAAGAATGGCAAAATGCCAGGAGCGCCGCGGTCGATACGCGTTGCGCGGACGCTGTAGGAATAGATGCGACCTGGATAACGCAGTATGTGTTGCGGTTGCTATTGCCTCGTGCATTTTTAAACGTTTTGGGCGAGAATAATAGTGTAGATATCGATCTGACGTTTTTAGCACCCACGCTATACGCGCTTTGTTGTGGGCGGGGCCAGCCCGAGGTAGGTGGAGCCAGACGAAAATTCTCTA